ATTTACCTGCTTAATGACCAAATCCACCTTATTGAGGAACCCTGGTGACCCGACGTGACCTAACATGCTGGCATTGGGCTATCACAACCATGTCTTCTGCCAAGTCCTTAATGATTAGCGTGATTCTTACAGCCTTGAGTCCCTTTATTATGGCTTGGATACTGTAATACATGATGGTGTTGTGTGTTGCCAGGTACCGGATACATATTGTACATTTATTATTGTTGACGTGGTAAGGTTCTCCATGGGGTGTCTTCTGTGTATCAGCTGATTATTATCTATCCCGGCGAGAAAGTGTTAACCTTGTAACAACTTGTTTGGTAAGTGTTTGTTTGTGTGGCAGCCGATAGACTTCCCAGAGTTGTTATTGCAAGATGATAATACGATTTTTTTTATTTTTTTTTTTTAGATAATCCTTGGTTGGGCGAGCCTCTATTTGTTTACCTTCATTACAGTCACAAGGAGATGAAAAAGCCTGAGAAAATAGAAGAAACAAGTTGATTAAAAATAAGTCTTATGACGGACTCCTACTTCTTAACGTCTACTGTGTGGCATGACCTGGAGAGTGTGTGTCTACCTCCCTAATCACAGTACGAGTGTTGGCAACGTAAGTCAAGAACAAATTGAGTTAAGAAGAACGTATATGTTCACCACGTCAGGAGGTCAAAGAAAATGGTCATAAGTTTGTAAAAAATACATCACCTGGCTTGAGTTAACACTTAGTCTGCTGTAGTGCCTGAGGGAGAGGGTGAACATGTTGGTGGCGCTTCTATGGCTGCCGACGAGTCTCCGCCATGAGTGAGGGGGACGACACTGCTCTCACTCACACCGTTGTGCTTAGAGGGACTGGTATGTTGTAGAGGGGTTCATGTGTTATATATATATACACGGGTTACAAAACAACATGGGGCCAACATACAATCAGATCACAATGACTGTATATACTCAGCTTTTTTTTTATGGACGAAAAACAAATTCAATAACATTTGGTGGACGCCCTTGTCTGAAGGTCATGTGCTGCACTTGCTACCAGGAGAAGTTTTGTGAACGGTTCCAGACATGACACACACACACACACACACACACACACACACACACACACACTCACACACACTCACACTCTTGACCACCCCATCTGACACCATCTAACAATATCTGACCCACCCGACACCATCTGACACCTCACCCATGAAGAAAACGAAACTAAAGTCCCAATATCTTATCCAAATGAAATCGGGATCCAAGGAGGAGGAATTTTCTATCTATGATTACAGATTTACCGATTTAATTCCTCAAATTCCATATTTTGTCTCAGAATTTTACCTTTGAAATAAATCGGGTAATTTTGACCTGTATCACTAACCACCTCGCAACATAACGGAGGTAATTAATAGACTGTGATCACCTCTTCCTACCCACCGCCTGTAATGGGTCCTCAAACATTGTGTTGATCGAGTTGTTTTCTCTCCACGCTGAAGACCTGATGTGGCGTTACAGGTTTATTACCATAAAAACAAGAGATCAAAACTAGGTACAATTAATCGGGTTTTTTCCTGAGCTACTGTCTAAATCGGCTACCTTGACATGGGGACAAGGTGCAATAAATCTGGTTGTCTCTCCTGAGCTACTGTCTAAATCGGCTACCTTGACATGGCGACAATGTGCAATAAATCGGGTGTTCTCTCCTGAGCTACTGTCTAAATCGGTTACCTTGACATGGAGACAAGGTGCAATAAATCGGGTTGTCTCTCCTGAGCTACTGTCTAAATCGGCTACCTTGACATGAGGACAAGGTGCAATAAATCGGGTGTTCTCTCCTGAGCTGCTGTCTTAATCGGCTACCTTGACATGAGGACAAGGTGCAATAAATCGGGTGTTCTCTCCTGAGCTACTGTCTAAATCGGCTACCTTGACATGGGGACAAGGTGCAATAAATCTGCTGTTCTCTCCTGAGCTACTGTCTAAATCGGTTACCTTGTGTTTAGTGTTGATGTGGACGTTTTTCTGCCACTGTTTGTTGTCTTAGGTCAAGTTTCTTCTCAGTCACTTGCCATGATAAATTCTTTCAGAGTTCTGGACCATCTGAAGATTAGACACCCCTTCCCCTCCAGCCAATTTCACTTGATGATTAAACACCGTAACGCTGTACCTGGTGGGAGAGGGGGGGGGGATAGATTAGGTTAGCTTAGGTTAAGTTATGTTATGTTAGGTAAGTTAAGTTGGGTTAAGTTGTGTTAAGTTTGGTTGCGTTAGTTAAGTTTAAGTTTGATTGCATTAGGTTGGGTTAGGCTGAGTTATATTAGGTTAAGGTAGGTTAAATCAGCTTAAGGTAAATTAGATTAAGTTAAGTCAGTTTAATACTAGGGTGATTAATCTTTAGGTGAAATAAGCTCGGGGTGTGAAAGGGAGGCTAACTCATCTTCAGGTTAATCCAAATTACTGTACTACTAATCCAATCATCTTTTGAAACTAGGAATTACAAGATTTACTGCAGCTATATTAACCTAAATATCAGTAAAAATGACTCCCCCCCCCCTCATTTCCCCTCTCCCTTCCTTTTCCTTTCTCGCTTTCACCCTTCCTTCCTCACCCTCCCTCCTCCTTCCTTCCTCACCCCCTCAACCTTGTTTTCTCCCTCCTTTACCTCTCCTCCACTTTCTTTTCTGTCCTTCCTTCTCCCTTATCCCCCCCTCTCCCTTCCCACCTCTCTCCCTCCCTCTTATCAATAAAGTATATATTTATCCAGTAAGGTTCCCCATGCTCCCTACTGCTGAACTCCTGAACCCTGTTGGTCTAGTGAGACAATACCCTTATCTCCTGCCTCACCATCACTACTACCTGGATACACGATAACACTTCTACATCACTTCATCATCTTAATAAATTATCAATCGAACCCAAATCTATTAATTAGTTATTTATGGATTTTTAAACGAATTATGAAGAGGTAAATAAAATAAAAAATCTTCACATAGGAAAAAAAATATTGATATTATTTGTAACTTATTTTTAGTTTCAGATGTTGGGTGTTTATAAAGTCCCTTGATGTTTGTGTTTATAAAGTCCCTTGATGTTTGTGTTTATAAAGTCCCTTGATGTTTGTGTTTATAACGTCCCTTGATGTTTGTGTTTATAAAGTCCCTTGATGTTTGTGTTTATAGAGTCCCTTGATGTTTGTGTTTACAGAGTCCCTCGTTGTTTTGATTGACTTATTTCCATGGTGTTTGTGTTTACTGACTTGAGGAACTAAATATCGTTATGTTTTGGATAAGTAACTTCCTCAAGGGACTCTATAAACGTAAACATCAAGGGACTATAAACACAAACATCAAGGGACTCTATAAACATCAAGGGTCTCTGCTAACGCCCTGTAGAACACCACTCAGCAAAAAGACATATCCAGCACACTCACCTCTCAGCCTCGTCCTTCCCTTCTCCACAACATGTAAAACCTCAGCTCTGGTGGTCTTGGCTTCTCTCGTCCGACTCTTTTCGCTGTTCGGGGGTCAAGCAACGTCTCTATATGGCCCCTCTAACATAACTGGAGTTTAGTCAGTATTCCCTTCCGTCTCAGCTGCAGGAATTTATTGAGTTTTTTTTAGCCCGTATTTTTTCGTTGTTTTGTCTTTTCTCGTGTTAGCAAATTTATTAGGATTTAGGATTTTATTAATATTATTTTTTTTTTTTTTTTTTTTTTTTTTGAGGGGGATGGTGATTTGAATCGTTGTGTGTGTGGATTAATGTTTTTTTTTTTTACAATGTGGTCCATAGCTTAGGTGTTGTATGTTGTTGTTGTTGTTGTTATTTATTTGTTTGTTTGTTAGCTATGGGGGAGATTATTTATTAGTTTTTAGTGTTAATCTTTTGACCCCTTTTTATCAGGTATGACTTACACACCAAGTCATTCATTAAATCTAGTCTCTTAGATGTATTTATTAAGTTTAGTTAAATTAGGTTAGGTTCGGTTGGGTTAGGTAGGTAAGGTAAGGTAGATAAGCAGTTAAGTTAGGCCAGGTAAAGTAAGTTAGGTTCATCTTGCCTGTCGTTATTAATACCCCCCCCCCCCTACAGTAGGACTAGACCAACGTATTTACACGGCTTGGGAGTTTACACGTCTTACTGTGTGGTGGCCGCGGGTTGACTCACAGATACGATACTGGACACCGTAAGGGAATTCTAGACCTTCTGCCAGTGACGGGAAGGTCGCGGGTGCCGTATTCATCGTTACCTGTTACCTGTAGTGTGATTTGCTCATTAGTAAACGCTTAAACTCTGGAGGTAAACAAGTTGATTTTCATAGGCCGCTTTGTTTTTGTTTTTTTCCAAGGATGAATAAATAATCTGACTTTAATTGTGGTATAAAACGTAATTAAACTTTCTGTAAATAAGATCTTGTTAGTTATAAGTTTATTATTCTAAACAGACATAAATTAACCTTGAGAACATAAATTAGATCTGGTAAAGTGTACGTGTTGATGGTGTAAACTAATTTCCTCATACCTGTCATGAGCGGCCTTGTTTAACCTGTGAAAAATATTACCTGGCCGGGTAATATGTAGAGGAGGGGGTGGGTGTGAAGGGGGGAGGGGGAGGGAACGCTGGGTAGGCGAGGTATTCTGTGGTTTGGTCGGGTGCAGACAGGAGCGACCGTACCCACCCCACCCGTCTCACTATCTCTAAGTGGGTTTGTGAATAGATGTCACACTCATGAGGCCGTCTCGGTGTTGCTGCGACGATACTGGTATTTAAATTTGCCGTCGAATGAAAACGGTAGCCCCCTCATGTAAGAATCTTAACTCTGCATTTTTAGGTGACTTGCGGGGCGTGTATAGATATTGTTGATGTATTTATTTAGATATATTAACTTGTCGTCCTCTTGTGTACGTCCCTGAAGTGACTATTAGTGTTACTTGATAGACACAAGGCTAAATCGTGAAGTAACAAGACGATAACGAGGTAAGGAGCGGTTGTCCTGCATCTGGCAGTGCGAGGCGACTGGAGCACCTTGGTGGCCGTCCTGGCCAGTCATACAGCAACCTTTCGAATGGTCAGACGCTTGGTGGGCTTCTCTGCTGAACCTCACTCGTCTATTCCTCACTGCCTCAACACTCACCTGTTATAATATCTACCAACTTTAGAAGAGTAGTAGCGTGTAACGACCATCAGTAGTTCTTACAACCAGTGGACGTGAACAACATGAATTGGCGCCCCGTGTGATCTTAGAGAAAATCTATTGTGAGTGCACAGACAAAAACCTGTTCCACGTTTACAGAAGCAAAATGTCTAATTACACAAAACGTCAATGGATTACGTTAGTGGTGTTTAGTTTGGCTCAGTTCTGCAATGCCGTGTGCGTGTCCCTGCAGGCACCTTTCTACCCGGCGGAAGCAGAGAAGAAGGGCGCCACTCCCTCCCAGTATGGCCTTGTCTTTGGCATCTTTGAGCTGACAGTGTTTTTGGTAAGCCCCATTTATGGGAGGTACATGAGTAAATGGGGCCCCAAATTCATCAACAACGCTGGCATCTTCACTGTGTCGGTCATGTGCATCCTGTTCGGTTTCCTTGACCGGATGAACGACACCGCCACCTTCATCGGCTTTTCATTTGCCGTCAGAATCGTGGAAGCGTTGGGTAATGCAGCTTTTGTGACCTCCGCCTTCAGTATCATCGCCAATGAGTTCCCCAAAAATGTAGGTTCTGCCTTCGCCACCATGGAGACCTTCTTCGGTGTGGGGCTGATCGTGGGGCCGACGGTGGGTGGGGCACTGTATGAGCTGGGGGGATACACTCTCCCCTTCGTCTCACTCGGCGTCGTCCTCCTCCTGGCTGCCATCCTTACCAGTTGCCTCCTGCCCTCCAACGGGGCTGAGGCCAGTCCTGACTCCCAGATCACCAGTAGACAATTTTTATCAGCTCTACGCCTTCCATCCATAATTCTATCGTGTTTTGCATTGTTATCAGCCTCCATCAGCATCGGATTCATGCAAGCTACTCTGGAACCCCATCTACGTCCGCTGAAGCTCACGCCCTTGAAGGTTGGACTCATGTTCGTGCTGAGCGGTTCAATGTACGCGTTGACAGCACCTTTCTGGGGGTGGTTGTGTGACAAGTGGGTGAAGCCGCGCTTTATCACCACACTAGGAGCTCTCTTGGTGGTGGTCGCATTTATATTCGTAGGACCGATGCCTTTCCTGCCATTAGAGACAACTATACGACTGTGTATCGGCGCCCTCATAATACACGGCATCGGGTTTGGAGCAGTTTTGGTGTCGACCTTTACTGGCGCCCATCGTGATGTTATATCTAATGGTTTCCCAGATGACCTGAGCACATACGGCCTGGTGTCGGGGATCTGGACCTCCACATTTGCCCTCGGGTGCTTCATCGGGCCCTCCGTCGGTGGCGTGCTCCTCGACTATTTCGGCTTCAAGTGGGCGTCCGTGTTCGTGGCGGCGCTGCATGTCTTAGTGGTGCTGTCTTTAGGAGTCTATATATGCTGTAAGGGAAGTGACAGAGACATGACGTATACAAACATACATGAATGTTTGTCTCAGGCAAAGGACGAGCGGCACACACTCCTCACTCATCCTAACGGCGACTGCGACTCCACCTACGGGAGCGCGGGTTCATCTCAAGAGAACTTGCCCAGCATCCCTTGAGTGACCTCCAGTTTGGCCTGAGATCTTGCTGCTCGTCGTTAAGGCGTTTCTCACCTCAGATGTTGATATATTGTCAGTTGTCTACCGAGGAGAGTCGAACATTTTATCCTTCCAGCAAATGTATAGAAGACATCCTTAATGCTGACCTGGTGGGGAAGGCGTCTAATGGTGGTATCCCGCGTCCAGATAATGTGGCAACAATGTCGTCTAAGCCAGTGGGTGGGGGGGGGGGGTCCCCGACCTGTGTGTAAGATCCCCCTGTGGCCGGACCCAGTGGTGCAGTGCCAGATAGTGACTGATAAGGGATGCCTTGTGATGGTAAACTGTGTACATTGGGGTGGGCTCGCCGTTACGGATGACATAATTATAAGGTATAAACATATGTTCCTCTCATTTCGACGTCATCTTGAAAGTCTGTGATATGTGTCGTCATAGTCATCATAATCCTGATAATGATAATGATTCCATGACATTTACCTGTGTATGTTTCTGATGTGCAATATTTTATGATTTCTTATATTAACATAATTACTTGTGAAGAGCAACCAATATAACTTATAATACTTTGTAATAATAAAACTATGTTCGAAAATAATTACTTTCTCTATCCTTTTAAGCACTTTACAGCCCGATAATTATTTAGATCAAGTAAGCTGGTCCCGCGAACTTTATACACATTGTCTGATATAGTAAAGTAATAGAATATTGAAATACGTTAAATGACGACAAAATATTGATATGATACACTACTTTTATCTTATTTAAATGTTACTCTCTATCTTGGAACCCTTACCAAACATACACCAACCAACCAAACCGACCTTCTCAAACCAAGACCATCAATTTGTTTGTCTCGTAATTGGTAAACATTCCATACTCACACTTCACATAATTTGTACGCTGGTGTTGACATGGAGGAAGTGAGGATCCTTAGATAATATCACATTTTTTAACGTCCCTCGTGTTGTGGTCCATACCTAACCTTTCCTTAATATACAGTCACGGAAAAAAGTCCTGTCAGTCCTTCAATCTTGAGGTTTTTGAATCTGTGAATCCGAGACCTCGCGCACTGGGTCCTGTCATGTCTCGGATTCACAGGTTCACGAGTCTCAGGATTCATGGATGGGGCAGAAGACTGATAGGACTTTTTCCGTGACTGTATAAGTTATTGTAAAATGATGTGGTGATGTCACTCTTAGCATATATATAAGTGTGGAAATGGCGCCCTACCCCCCCACACACGCCCTACACACGCCCTACGCCCTACCCCACACACACACCCCCACACGCCCCACCCACACCCACGCCCACACACACGCCCCACCCCCACACGCCCTACCCCACACACGCCCCCACACCCCCACCACACGCCCCACCCCACACACGCCCTACACCCCCACACACCCCCACACACCCCACCCACACCCCCACACACCCCCACCCCCCACACCACCCCCACACCCCCACACACCACCACCACCCCACACACACCCCACCCACACACACCCCACCCCCACACACACACCCCCACACACACACCCCCCCCACACACCCCACACCCCCCACCCCACACACAACACCCCACCCCCACACCCACCCCACACCCCACACACCCCCCCACCACACACACACACCCCACCCCCACACTGCCCCCACACCCCCACCACCCTACCCCCCAGACACACCTCCCCCAGACACACCTCCCCCCAGACACACCTCCCCCAGACCCCCCCCAGACACACCTCCCCCAGACACACCTCCCCCAGACACACCTCCCCCCCAGACACACACCTCCCCCCAGACACCCCCCAGACACACCTCCCCCACACACCTCCCCCAGACACACCTCCCCCAGACACACCTCCCCAGACACACCTCCCCCCCAGACACACCTCCCCCAGACACACCTCCCCCAGACACACCTCCCCCAGACACACCTCCCCCACCAGACACACCCCCCCCAGACACACCTCCCCCAGACACACCTCCCCCCACAGACACTCCCCCAGACACACCTCCCCAAACACACCTCCCCCAGACACACCCCCCAGACACACCTCCCCCCAGACACACCTCCCCCACAGACACACCTCCCCACAGACACACCTCCCCCAGACACACCTCCTCCCCACACACACTCCCACAGAACCCTCCTCCCCACACATCCCTCACCTACCCCCCCACCCCCCTCCCCCCACACTAAATACCATGGTAATGTAAACGAATTGTGAATGACTATGAACCCGCAACGAATGAGACGCTGGCTAGCCCAGGGTCCGGTCTACCCCAGCAACACTCAGCTGACCGGGGCCATAGCTCCCTGGGTGGTCCATGGTCCCTTCAAGCTGTCGAGTAGATGATGGCCGTGAAAGCTTAGTTTTACACGAGATTTATGGTGCAATTATTTAAGCTTGTTAGTGTTGTTTAAGTTCAATTTAGTGTTTGTGGTTTAGTTAGGTTTTTTAGGTTTAGTTTTAAGTGTTTGTGGGTAAGTTAAATTGTTTTAGGTGAAATTAGTTAGGTTTTCTCGATTAATTTTGATGTTTTTATATAATTAATTAATTTCCAGTTTAGTCATATATTTTCGTCTTATTTAATGTGAGTTTTTATATATATATACCCCTGTAATTTTAATTCATATTCAGCTGTATTAGTTATATTTAATCTTGTCTTTATTTTTTGAATTTTGTTATTTTGATTAATTTGTGGTTTAATTAGTTACAGTTTTACTTATTTTTTTAATTATTAGTTTTATCTGATTTTCATTAGTTTTTTAGCTCAGTAGTTTTTTTCCTTTGGATTAGTTTGTATCATTTTGTTAATTATTGAGTTAAATTACTTTTATCTCGCTTAAATTAATTATTAGCTTCAATTAGTTAGATGGAGAAAGTTTTAATTTATCCTTAGGTTAAATTAGTTAGTTAGCATTATCTCACTTCATTTAACTCATAACTTATATTGGATACATTTCCACATGGTCACGTCTCCAATGCAGCTGGACATCATTTTACGGATCACGTGAAGATTAGCACCTCAGTTTATTTCACCTGATGGTTAAACGCCCTAATAGTACCTGTAGATGCTAGGTTAGGGTAGGGTAGGGTAGGGTAGGTTAGGTTAGGTTAGGTTAGGTTAGGGTAGCGCCAGGGTGTTTAATCTTAAGGTGAAGTAAAGTATGGGGATTTAATTGTCACTTGGTCCCATTTTACGTGTTAGGTAGTGCTGGCGCCTCACCGCTGGCTCCCTTGTTTAATAACTGTGGTGGTACTGAGCGTTCGGTACTGTGGTGTTAGTGAGTACACCCGCCACCAGGGGGGGGGGGGGACACCTGCCTGTTACATTGGCACTGTCTCCTGTGTGACGTCAGTAGGGTGGTGGGCACTAGGTGTACTGTAGGGTGGCGGGCACTATACACATTGAGTGACGGGCACTATACACGCTGAGTGACGGGCACTATACACGCTGAGTGACAAGTATAATTGACACTGGGTGAGGTGGCACTAGTTGCTGGGTGACAGGCACTATACACACAGTGATGGGCACTATAAACACTGGGTGACGAAAACTAGGCGCTGGGTGAGAGGCAGTGGACCACTCTCATGCAGGTTGAGGCAGTAGACCACTCTCCTGCAGGTTGAGGCAGTAGACCACTCTCCTGCAGGTTGAGGCAGTAGACCACTCTCCTGCAGGTTGAGGCAGTAGACCACTCTCCTGCAGGTTGAGGCAGCACCATCAACTTCCTCTTTACCTCGGTTTGTAACCTTGAATATCCTCCTGGTTGTCCCTGGCTGGCCTTTCTATTGACACTATAAACAAGACGACTCGCTCTCTACATCCTCGGATAAAACTTGGTCCTTACACACCAGTTTTTGTGGATATTGATCACCTTCCACCTCCCCCCCACCTCTCTCTATGTAAAGGCTGTCCCGGCCTCTTGGTCGTAGTGTTTGTGGGTCTGTTTATGCTTTCCATACGTACACATGCAGCCTCACACGTACGCATTCAATCCCCGCCCGTACGCTTGCAGCCTCACACACACACACACACACACACACACACACACACACACACACACACACATTTGGTATTATTTTATCCGTTTGTGTGATGGTTGCGAGATGTATTTGTCTCAGAGTTTGTTGTGAATGTTTATGTAAGTGGCGGCGTAACACGTGTGGCAATGACCCGATTTCAGGTAGTGACCTCGAGGTGGCCTCTGGACTAGTGGTGGTGATTGTTGAGATAGTTGTGGTGGTGGAGGCAGTTCGAGAGGTGTTAGTGATGGTGGTGATAGTAGTGAGTGATGGTGGTAGTAATAGTAGTTAGTAGTAGTAGTTGGTATATGAGATAGAGAGAGAGGTAGTTGTGAGGGGTGACTATACTGTACTGGGTTATGGTGATGGTATAGGGGCGAGGGCTGTAAGGGAAGGTAGGAAGGTCAACTACGGACACCTTACTAGGGTATATGAGTAACATGGTCGCTCCCTCCCATTCACTAGTTGAATTTGTTTACTACGGGTCCACACCTTCACCTTCACCACGTTCTGCCATGGTGTTTAAACTGACTATATTTGTACCTCCGTGTATGGTCGTGTTGTCTCTCACCTGTTGACTCTCACTCTAAGGTGTTTGTTTACTTTGTGGGAAATATTGACTCGCCCTTGAAGCAGCGCTGTTTTGTGTTTTACTGACTTAGGTAATAATTTAGGTCACGTGTTGTTTGTTCTGTGTCGTCTGTCATTACTAGATTCATCGTATGTTTCTGAAGCTTCGCGTCATGTACAGATAGGGAATGAAGTCTTAAGTCGAGGGTCATTTACGAGTTTGTTATTCTGATGTCATTTAGTCATTTCGGATCATTTAATTCATTCGGTAATGTATTTTGTATAACGTCTATTTAAAACAACAAACCACGGCCCATGCACCATTTGATGATAAGTCACATTGTTTTTAACTTAAAAGACCAGACTGTGACCTTGGTATTTGACCTTCATACACCAAATTACATCGATTCATTTTCTGCTAACATACAACCCATGAGAAAAATGACATGAAAATTGATTGACTTACTTTTTTTTTATTTCGTTCAAACGCTCTCACACAGACACACACACACGGTGAAATTTTTGCAATACCTTCCCATTACCCTATAAACAGGTGGACAATAATGTGCTCTTGTGTACATACATATTACAGTAAACTTCTTATTAAAATTCCTATTAAACATTATTGCGTCTTCTTATACTGGTAATGTAGTTTGAAGTTACTAAGTGTTGACGGACCCCTGAAGACTCACCAGGTGTGCTAGTTGTCGCTATGATTCTTTCTAATGAGAAATTATCTGCCGGAAGCTCTGTCCAGTGGCGATTTTTCTCCTATGAGATTGTGCCCCTTGTCTCGCGAAAGTGAAACCTGATACTCGAGGCTGAGGAGAAGGTGTAGGGGACTGTGGGGAGGAGTGTGGAGGTGTGGAGACAGTTTGGGGAAGAGGGGGAGGAGAAAGAGGTATGGAGACGGTAAGGAAGAGGAGTGTGAAGGTTGGAGGGGGTGAGAGGGGAGGGAGGGGGGCACTACTATCTCGCCTCTACCTTG